AACACCTGCAGAAATTAGGGCAGAATATGAACAGCTAGCCGAAGAAAGGGAGAAAGGGCGAGAGAAAGAAAAAGCAAGCTACAAACCCTAGTGGAAATATCACTATTGCCATCAATGCTACTGACTTGTTCAATCCCTATGATGATGTATACTATGATGATGAATTTGAAGAGTAAGCACCAAGTTTTTAATTTTCAAATCGTCAAGGAGTAAAAATAATGACATCATTTATTGCCCAACAGATTAAATAAATGTACATACCAAAATGTTAATTCTCAGTATGTTGTGAGATTTTATTATAGTTTGTAAGCATTATTCATAAGGGTGACTTGAAAAGTAGTATGGTGTCTGGAATTGAAATGTGACACATTCAATCTAATTAAAGATAGAAGGTCTAAACAAGATTTCACTGTACAAAAGTGTGTATAAAAATATTACCAAAGTCTATGCATCTGAACTCCAAACTGTCCATGTTATAAAGATTTACTAGAAGTTGATATTGCATATGTTGTTCTGGGTAAATACGAGGGTGAATCAAATATGCACTGGACTTTTCTGCTTAACGGGCCATAGGTGAATCGAGTGAGACGACATCTTGGTATATGTTAGGTAGTAGCAGATGAGCTGTTATTAGCATCATGTGTGAGCAAGAGTTGCACACATCTGTTGCGCAACGCATTATCATAAAATTTTTGACGTGGGAGGGTGTAAACCCTTCCGAAATTATGCATCGATTAATAGCACAGTTCAGCTATAAGATAGTTTCAAGGACACAGGTATACGATTGGCAATTTTTTTTTCCATGGAGTGGCGAAAGCCTGAAGACGCAGCACCACAAAAAGCCAAGACCAGTCTTACTGCACGAAAATTTCTTGCAACTGTATTTTGCAATTCCAGAGGTGTACTGCTAGTTGATTTTCTTCACAATCGCCATACAGTTAATGTTGCTGTTAATGCTTACTAGTGTCAATTGCTTAAAGAAGTGAAATTGGCCTATCGGCGAAAAAGGCGAGACATGCCTATTTGAAGTGCCATTCTGCCCCATGACAAAGATCAGCCACACACAGCTGCATTCACCCAATAAAAATTATGCGAAATTCATTGGGAGATACTTAAACACCCATCTTACAGTCCCGATTTGTCACCATGTGACTGTCACATGTTTGGTCCACTTAAAGAAGACCTGGGAGGTCACCTCTTTGACGACGACGAAAGTGTGGAAATGTTCGTACACAATTGGCTACTGACATGACCAGCTACATTCTTTGATGGGAAAATTAAAAAACATGATCGCATAGGAAAAATGCATCAATAAGAGAGGAGATTATGTAGAAAAATAAAATGTAAATAAACTTATATTTACTATACCATAAAATTACTAAAACAAAAGTTGGTTCATATTTGATTCACCCTTGTATGATGTTTTTTAAATGCCAGATGTTTCAAAAACTTTCTTTGAACTCACTTTGGTCTTTCTTTATGATACAGATAATATGAATTCTAAATGTTGAAAAAGTACTTCAGTTTTGTACACATATAACTTTGAAATAAGGTGTTTAAAGTTGTTTCATTGTTGAATGTTTGACAGCTTCTTACAATAAAGCCATACACTTTGTAAGATTCTGCAATTTTAGTATCAATATGAAGTTGATCGGCAAATAAAACTACGTGCCTAAACCTTTTATGGATGAGCAACATTACAAAGGTGTGTTATCCATTCTGTAGTTGAACACTAAAGGTGCTTTTTTCCTAGAAAAAGTAACAGTTTTATATTTTGCTATGTTTAGTGCCAACTTATTGTTAACATAATATTCATGAATACTGTTGAGTGTTCTTTGAAGATAAATACATCATCTGTGGTGATTACTTTGGAAATGGAAAATATTTTCATACTATCCGCAAAAAATTCTTGATTAGTTCAGAGGAGAAAGATAGCTGTGACCAATTTTCATAGATGACTCTATGGTATTTCATTTTCAGATAATTTTTCAGACACGCAAATATAGTATTAGGTTGGCTATCTTTGGGTAGAATACATTCATCAATAATTAAATACTTCATCAGCATAATGAAAAAGAATATTTAGTCAAATATGGTAACTTATCTTTCGCAAGTATCAAACCTAATTTTGTGGAACTATATGGAACAGCAGTTATTGTTTTGTCCTGAATGGAAGTAAAAGGTAATATCATGTTTTTTCTTAAATTATTTATTCCAGTGATATAATATCAAGTATACCAAATATAGAGGTGTCTTCAATGCAATTCTCACAATCTGTGGATTTTCCATTAACCCAAAAAGATACGTGTACCCTCTCAGGTCAGTTGCAGACTCAAAATGGTACAGGAGCTGGTGGTATAAATTTAAGTTGGAGACACATATTTCCCATAAAAGCTGGGCAGAAGTAGAAATGTGTGCAGGTAATAAATATGCTCAAATTAACCAATACAGTTGAATAG